AGTTGATAAACGTATTATGTTATTGATTAACAAATACAAATAAATGAACTATTAAAATAATTTTCTTTCGGGGCGAGATAAGAAAAAGTGCGAGCGAGATGGATATTATTCCATCTCGCTTCTTTATAGCCGCCGAGACCGTCTACAAAAATCTTACAACAATCTCGCCTATTCCCCATCCGTCAAATTCGTACCGTCCGATAAGGAACTTCATTCCAAAAATTAAAAACAATCTCTGTAAATTTTGATTTTGACATGAATGTAAAGGAAAATACATAAAAATTGAAAAATATATAATTTTTATTTATTTATTCTTTATCGTAATCACCTTAGATCTAACAATGGGTAGACTTAATGCCTTTTTGGATTCTTTGTCAGTCAACCCTGGGACAATAAGACAAGTGTTGGCAGTTGCAATCTCTGACGAAAAGAAAGGAAAAACTAATAAACATGTGTAACATTACACACACATTTATAAAATACATGCATACATAAGTAAATAAATATACAAACATATTATAAAAAAATTAAAGGTGAATAACATGTTATGTGTCTTCATATAATGCAGATAATGGAGCCGTAGCAGTATTTTTAAACATTGTTTATTGGGAGCATTATTAATATCTCTGAAGATATTAAAAATCCTGAATAAATAAAATAATTAATCCCTGAGGAGAGTTCGAAATTAATGTAGCCTGAATGGTAAAGAATTACTTGAAAACGGCAGTACTATGCTGGAGACTAAACTTTTGCAATTTAGACCATACCAAAAACGCCCCTTACATATCAACTACCAATACCTAAATATGCCCTTAGAATCTGTTAACTCTCACTGTCTCCTGGGTATAAATATAGATGCACATTTAAATTGGAAGGAACACATTAATAAAATTGTCAAAAAATTATCTAGTTTTACATACGCTCTTATAGAACTTAAAAAAAACCACCGACTTAAAAACAGCAACCAGTGCCTACTACGCGTACGCAGACGTCTGGATACGCTACGGTGTGGTACTTTGGGGTAACAGCACAGACGCTAACAAAGTATTTCTAATTCAGAAAAAATGTATTCGCATACTTGCAAATATCGACTCCATAACAAGTTGTAGAAATTACTTTGTCAGTTATAATATCCTGACATTGACATCCCTATATATATCCGAAATAAGCTCACTAGTTAGAAATAATATCGACTGGTTCCCTCAATATTTTCGCCCTAAAAATTTAAGACCAAAAATAAAATTATCCACAGTTACATCAAAATTACAAATCGTAAACACCGGTCCCTATGCCATGTCAATAAAAATATATAACAAAATTCCAGAACAAATCAGAAGCATTAAAAGCATTAAAAAATTTAAAAAGGAAGTTAATACATATTTAACGAAAAAATGTTATTACTCGTTGCAGGAGTTTTTTAGTGATTGAGTAGGAAATAGGAAATTGAAACAAATATACAATATAATATGATGCAATTTATATTTAAGTTAATTGTAAATATTCACTATATGATAATTTTATAATACTATAATGTGAATGTAATAATAATATTAATAATTGCCTATATTTGCAGTGCCCTTGCAGGGTTCTTGCTTTGGACATTTTTTTTTTAAATATAAGACCAAATGTACAACAAGAATAGCAATAAATTGAATTGATTTGAATTGAGAAAACTGATCTTAAGACTATTTGATGGACGAGATGAGGTACTAAAGATGATATGTACTGAAGATAGAATAAAACAGTATTAATATTAATTACAGCTATTTTTTTTATGTAAAATATACTTAAATTTTAAAGAATTTAGGATCAATTTACTTTTACGCTGATCTTCTTTCTTTATAATTTTTCAACCCGTAACTGTCTATTAGTCGACATGAGCCTCTCCCATTATTATCACAGGTTCAAGTATCTATTGGAACCAGGCTTCTCACAAAACCCACGGGACCGGAAGCAATAAATTATCTTACGCCACAATCACTCGGCATTTTTTTTGGGATACCTAGAACATATATATATATATATATGTATATATATATATATATATATATATATATATATATATATAATATTATTAAAGCATCTACATAATTACTTTAATATATTTTTAAATACAAATTGTAAGATCTGAATTACTTACACTAGCTGGACTTTTTGTTTACTTCCATAACGTTAAAAATATATCTACAATACGAGTATAACAATCTTAACAAAGTTTTATTAGTTAGTAGCAGTGTTGCCAACTGCACCGTAATTACGGTAAAAACACCGTAATCAGCATAGATCTACCACCTACCGTAGGATTATAATTACGGTAGCAAAATACACCGTAATACCCAATGAAGATCGTATCTAAATATGATTATCTATAAACTAAAATAATTTTAGCGAGTTTGATTGTTTACTTTCTTTACGTTACAGTATTTTCCTTTTATTCTACCGACAACACTGTTTTATGCGTCGGGAAATCCCCCAATAGCGTGGTACCAGCTTGGAGATATTATGCGAACGAATTCGGGGGTGCTGTATGTATTTGAATTTCAATGAATACTTAGAGCTTTTTAATTTTCCTAGTTTATTTGTATCATAAACGAGATACGACTAACATTTCATTAACACTTAAAATTACGTAAGAGTTTGTTGTGTTGTGTTGTGTTGTGTGTGATCTGAGTGTTTAAAAATATGGAGAGTGATGGCGACAGCGCTACTGATCGAGAAGATAGCTTAACACGAGTACCGGCTAAGAGAAAGCGTTATAAGCAGAAGTTTCGGGAAGAATGGTTGCTGAATAAAGAATATAGTGACTGGCTAAGAAAGGATAATAGGGACTTATCGAAGGCGGTCTGCAATGTTTGCAATACATCTTTCAGTGCCGAAATAAGTGTAATAAAACGCCACAAAGAAGGAACTAAACACGTGAATAATTTAAAGAGGTGTAGTGCTTCAACGTCCAAAAAACAACAGTCTATAGTAAGCGTTTTTAAATCCATGCCAACTAATGAAAAGCAATTGGTAAAGACTTCAGAAATAAAATTAGCTGCTTTTGTTGCTGAGCATAAGGTATCTCATAATGTCATGAATCACTTAGAAGATTTGTTACCAAAGTTGTTCCCAGATTCTCAGATAGCCAAAGATATTAGATTAAAAAGAACTAAAGTTCAAGCTGTGATAAATAACTGTATTGGGGAAACTGAAAAAGAAAACTTGATCAGTGACTTGAAATCACAAATGTTTTCAATTTTGATAGACGAAAGCACAGATATTGCTGTAGTAAAAACAGTAGCTGTAGTGGTCAGGTATTTTGATCCAATGATTGGTAAAGTTATCACTCGGTTTTGGAATTTGATTCAATTATTTGATGAGAAAACCACCGATCATGTTGCAAATGCCGAAAAACTTTTTAATACTGTTATAGGTTCATTTCAAAAGTATGAGATTCCTACGGAAAACATCATAGGTTTCGGCTCTGATGGATGCAACACAATGATGGGATGTAACAATTCAGTTTCAAGTCGATTTCGTCAACGTTGTCCAGGCATAATTGTGATCAAATGCATTTGCCATTCTCTGCATCTTTGCGCTAGTGACGCATGTAAAGAGCTTCCACTAAATTGTGAAAAAATGGCGCGAAATATTTATAATTATTTTAAATCCAGTAGTAAAAGGCAGAGTGAGTTGAAAGAGTTCCAGTATTTTGCTGAGGCGGATGTGCACAAAATTCTAAGACCAGCCCAGACTAGATGGTTGTCTTTAAATGCAGTAGTGCAAAGGATTCTGGAACAATGGGATGTATTACGTCTTTATTTCAATAGCAAATGGCTGGAAGAATCGGAGTGCCACGATATTCATGCATGCCTGAATGATCCCATAATCAAGGCTTATTACTATTTTTTGGCTTGGATGTTGCCAAAATTTACAACATTAAATAGCTGTTTTCAGAGCGAATCTATTTTAATTACGAAACTACATGGGAAAATGACAGCTTTTTATAAAGAACTGTTACTATTGGTTTTACACAGAAATTATGTAAATTCCGCTCCTATTGAAACTATAGATCCAATGACAGAAATAAATCACAAGGACCTAAAAGACATATATCTAGGTTTAGGTGTCCAGAAAGAACTAGATTCTGTTGAAAATGAAGAAAGAAAGTTAACTCTCAGAAAGATGTGTAAAAATTTTATTATTAGAGCTTGTGTGGGCCTTCGTAAACGATACTGTTTTAATGACAAAATTATGACAGAAATAGCAAAATTTGATCTAGAGAAAGTAATTTCTGATGACAGGGAAGAGTCAGTTTCGTCGTTATTTCCATTACTGCCCAGAATTGCCCCAACTTCAATCCAACATCAACAAGAACTAGATGATGAGTGGCGGAAGTTGCCGTTATACTACAAAGATTTGGATTTAAGTCAACCCCCTGACGTATTTTGGCACCAGGTAAGTTTCCATGTAAACTCGAAGCAACGTGAATTCATATTGGTTTCTATTGTTATAGCAGCCTAATCATTTTTTTTTCAGGTCGCAGAACTGCGTGACCAACATCGAGAAGGGAATACCTATTTCCAACACTTGCCAAAATTTATGTTGGCCATTTTGTCTCTGCCACACTCGAATGCTGAGTGCGAAAAAGTCTTCAGCAGAGTTAACGATATAAAAACAAAAAAACGGAATAAACTCCTAACGAAATCCATCAAGGGAAATCTCTTATCGCAGCAAGCCATACAGCGTCACGGAAAAAACTGTGTTGATTTTAATCCCACTCACGCTATGATCGCAAAACATAACAATGATATGTATAAAAATATTGAAACAATTATACTGTCCGATTCTGATTAAAAATATGTTTTTTTTTTAACTCTGACCCATAACATGCTACTAAATAAACAAGGTAATTCTACCGTATTTCAAATATATATTACAACATAATTTCGAAAATTCTACCGTATTTTTAGAAGAATTCTACCGTCCGCTAGATTTCAGACTTGGCAACACTGGTTAGTAGTTCGTGAGTATTCTTACAGAGTGAACGGCTGTAAGTATTATTTTTGTATATAAAAACAATTTTGATAAAATGTCGACATAAAGATTTCTTTACGTACATATATACTGTAAGTATTTATGTCATATAAGACATTAATGTTTGTTCGGTCGTATTTTATGCGCTGACATACGGTTCATCAGACTGCGGTAAAATTTTGTCAACTTATAGCTTGCAGATGAGTGAAGGTTATGGGCATATTACAATGAACTTTGGCGCGCGTATCGTACCGGCAAATTTGTTTGAAAATTATAAATCATTCAATTTCAATGAATTTCTTATCATTCCTCATTAAACGATATTCTAAATTTAAAACGATGTTTCCTTAATTATTTCTTCTGCACAATGGTGACTATAATTTAACACACGGGTAGAGATAGTGCCCATTAATCATATTAATTTTGGTAGGTTAAAATAACTCGTAAATTGAAAAAAAAAATTTTTAAACAAACTTAATAATAAAAAAGTAAGTAAAATTGGGATCACCCTTGCGAAAATTCATTCATGAAATTACTTATCTTTTTTACAGGATAGGGTGACAAACGAGCACACAGTCCACCTAATTGTAAGTGGTTGCTGTGGCCCATAGACATCTACATTTATCCTCGTTTGCGAATCAAAATGCAGATGCGTTGTCACCCGTGGTTACTAAGATGGAATGCCTCTTTTCCAGTAAAAAGGGTCTCCGGTTCTCTACACTCACCATACGAAACACAGCAGTATTAAGCTGCTATTTGACGCTGGTATTCTGTGAGAGCGTGGTCCTTCCCTGGTCGAGCTGACCCATTCGTACTACAACTATACTACTAATATAGCTGCAGCATGGCTCTACCACGTACAAAAAGATCCAGCTGGCTTACGTTAATTCGGAGCGGCAACGAGTCGCTCCGCGCGCTAGCAACCGCGCAACGCATCTTGTACCTTGTACCTACTTGTAATCAGTCCGATTCTTTGACGGCTTGTTATCAAAGAAACTGAGCGGCGCCGGAGAGTACCTACAGCGGAGGTGCTTAGTCAAACACTTATCATATCACCCTGCCTTATTACTATTAATTATAACTATCATCGCTAATCACTGCTTTTATTTGTCTTTATTATTAATTTTCTTATTTTCAATGAGACCACCGTGTTGGCGAATACAAAGAGCTAAACGGCATTTCATGTTTTCCCACACAATTGAAAATAAATTGTCACTTATAGCCATTTCCCTCAATTTCTCAAACGCATTTATTATTCGATGACGTAATTGTTCCACCAAATCCACGTTCTCCGCGTACACATCGTCTTTGATGCACACCCAGAAAAAAATCGAGTGGTGTGAGGTCTGGCGATCTTGCTGGCCACCTACGAGGTCCAAATCTACCAATTCATTGTGCACCAAACGTGTCATTTAGCCACTGCCTGACTGTTGTTACAGTGTGCTGACGCGCTATCTAATTAGTACCACATTCGTTGGTACCGATGGACGTTTAGGTTGTTTGTGTATTCTGACACCGTACTGCTGGCCGTATGAGGAAGCTCAAGGTCGCTCAGCGAGCTATGAAGAGGGCTATGCTCGGGGTCTCTCTGTGTGATAAACTTAGGAATGAGTATATTCGCAGTAGAACCAGAGTAACCGACATAGCCCAACGGATTAGTAAGCTGAAGTGGCAGTGGGCCGGCCATATAGCTCGAAGAAGCGACAACCTATTGGGAAGAAAGGTTCTCGAGTCGTAATCTCGTACCGGTAGGCAAAATGTAAGGTGGTACCCCACTAGATGGAGTTACGACCTAGTAAGACATGCAGGAATTCGATGGATACAAGTGACTCAGGACCGTGCTTTGTGGCATTTTTTGGGGGGCCTATGTTCAGCAGTGGACTTATGAAAGGCTGTAATGATGATGATGATGATGATGACACCGTATCGTTTAGTAGACTAACAAACGTTTCTCCGTTCAAAGCCCCATTAATGAATACGGGTCCGATGATATTGTCACCGTGAATAGTTGCCCAAACATTTACCAAAAATCTGTACTGATGGGATGACTCCCGCCAAACGCGCGAATTTCGGTTTTTGGGTGCCCAATGGTGCAGATTGTGTGGCTTCCACGTGCCGTTTCTGGTGAACGTGCTTTCGTCAGTTCAACAAATTTGGGAAAGAAAGTCACTGTCCTCTTCAACTTTACTCTGTAACCACTGACAATAATTCACTCTTATTAATTTATCACGCGATATCAGAGTATGGACTTTTCTAAACTTGAATGGGTGCCACTTTTCGCGTTTTAATATCCTATGGACAGTTCCGTGATGGAATTGAAAATACCTAGCGCTCTGGCGGAGGCCAGTTTTGAGTTGGTCTTCGAAATCTTGTATCACATTTACAGTTAACTGGATTAGGTTTTGTCCTTATCGCAAGGGCGAAATTTTGGCGACATTCTCCGTAAATTAGGATCTTGTCCGCATATTCAGCTGCTATGTAGTCCGGATGTGTACTTGCCATTACGATCACAAATTTACACAAGCACTAATAACACAAATAAAAGCGTCCGTATGGCAAGAGATGTAAACGTACCTACTAAATTAGAAAACGAAAACAAAACAAAGCGTCTTTGTCGCAGTACCTTAATCTAATTACTATCCTAATTACACAAAAATTAATAAATAAAACAATAGGTAAGTGTCTTTTTCGCAGAAAAGTTCACAAAAATATTAGTCGACGTAATCATGCGCACTACTGTCAAGGCCACGGATTCGGCTAGCACTAGAAAAACAAAAAAAAAGAATTCGATTTCGGTGCAGCTAGGTCTGCACCGCACACTCGCCGACAAAGGGATGTCTCTTTTCTTCAATAGTATTGCTAAAGCTGAGAACAAACTATCGAACGCGTCCGTCAGCCGCAGCTGACAGACGCGGCTTATTAAAACCTAACCAGTACATTTAATACTACACTGTGCAAACTATCGGTCGTAAGACGCGGACGTGACCTTGCGTCGGTCTTGAGCGTTCTCGACGTCCGAACAGAATCTAGCCGGCTGGATGTTTGTACGTCCGCGGACGGTGTGAACAGGGCACGGGACGCGTCCGCGGACGTTTCCAGTGTCACAAACGAACCAACCGCGCTCGCGACATATCTAATGAGAAAAATTAATTGAATGTGTTCGTAGCCACGAATGCCTATATAACCACAAACTGCAGCACTATAAAAATACTACATTATCACCACTAGACGCTCCTTTGCAGATATCGGTTTCCGAAACTGTGTCATTTGTTTTTAGATATTATTTTTAATCAGAAAATTAAATTGGTCTTCATTCATTCTTAAGTGCATTTTGTAACATTTATCATCTTTTTGTAAGTCTGGATACAATATATGAAATTCACCATACTCGAGTCGTTTTACATTAATATCATGGACCCAAATACTCCTTTTCACTTTTTTTTGGAGGACAACATAAGGCAGCTGCCGCTAACTCTATAAATTCGTCCTCGCTGTCGCTGCTTGTCATGTTTCTCGATTGACAAACCTTTATAGAATGACTGAAGTGAGGCTTCCGAAGACGCCGTCTCGACTACCATGCACACCGCTAAGCCGCGTCTTTCAACCGCGGCTGACGGACACGTCCGATAGTTTGTTCTGAGCTTTATTTGTTTTAATTTCAATGATGCGATCTTATGATCCGTGACCCCGTCAAATGACTGCTGCGCGACAGTTCTCTAAGTACAGGTTGCCGTAAGATGCTATTTTCTAAAATTTTAAATAAATCCGTAAATAATAACGTTTACTGGAAATATAATTTCTTCATGAAAAGAAAATGTGAAAACGTATATATGTGTTAAATTAAAGTCACCATTGTTGCAGCACGTTGTATATAAAAATTTATTTTTGTTTGTTTGTATCTTTTGCGCTGCTATACCGTTCATCAGATTACGGTAAAGTGTTGTTAACTTATTACTTGCACATACATGAAGGTTATAGGCATAGTATAATTAACTTACACTAGGTGGAGTGTGTGTCGTATCGAGAAATTTGTTTGAAAGTTATATATCATTCCATTTCAATGAATTTATTATCAATATTACTCTGCCAAGTTTAAAACGATATTTCCTCAATTATTTCTTCTGCGGCATCAACGCGCCGGATACCAGCTAGTGTTAAATAAAAACGAGCTTTGTAAATTAATGATACTTATAATAAACAATTGTGAGAGATTTTTTTGTTACTGGTTATTTTACACTTGAAAATTTTACACAGTATAAATGCTACCTTAATGAAATAAAAACTTTAATAACGTTGAGTAACATTTATTCATAAAAATACATAACACAAAAATAACGTTAACTTCAATGCAAAGCTATAAAAAACAAACTCGTATTTTACGTAAATAATTTAATACATTTTAGTACTTTATGTCTACTCTACATTTTACCAATACGGATCTTATGTGATTCGGAATGCTACAGAAGAATTTTTTTTTAATTATGTTGGGACTACTGTAACATTTTTTTATTAACCTATTTAGATTAATGTGATTGGAAGGGGATTTTTTCGTTTCATCGTAACATCGTCCAAATTTATCCCAATATTTGACCTTAATAGAGGTCTAGGCTGTGTACGTGCTATTCTAGGCTACTGCTATCGCTTTCCTGAATGTAGTCCTACCTACAATATTAATTTGTAACGTAGAACATTTCTTCTTCTTATTTTTCAATAGCAGTACCGTTGCACTTTTCTACTATCACTAGTTGGGTGGGGGATACGGAAGAAATCCCGCCTGACACGTCTCAAAAAAATTTTATAACTCTTAATTAAAGGTTAGCTTTAATCTCTCTTATCTCTCTCCTTTATACTTTTTGCCTTTCATTATGTTCATGTGATATAAACTTAACCTTGTTTTAAATCTTCTTACCGTCTAGTTTAAGGAATCGGATGCGTATCTCCCTGTCCTACAACACTATCACTCCTATTTAGCTTTGGGACTCTCACTGATCAGAATGAATTCAAGCCAACTTCAGG